AGCAAAATATTTATCAAGATTTTTCTCCATATAGTCTAGACTCATTCTACAATTCCACCAAGTGTATTGATGGTCTGTGAGAGAAATTTTCTGCATGGTCATGTTGGTTATGAAGTGTTTGAACCTAACTTCTCTTTGTTGCTACATATATCGTTCCAGTCATCCCCTATAATCCATCTATCTCCCCATCTTGATTTGGCTTACTCTAGATATCTCCTTTGAGACTATCTTTCTCTGTGGTCTGTACTTAGGTACACAAAAATGATCCAGGCTGAGTTGTGGTCAGATGCATGGTTAAACCCCACTTCAATGCAGAAATTGTTTGACATCGATTGTAGGATAGAAACATCTTTTTTCCAGAGGAGCATGATACCTCCACTCTGGCCAATTAGGTCCACTATTAGATTTCTGCCTTCAAATCCCAATTTTCTGCAAACTGTGAGGACAAAAGGGTTGGTTTTCCTAGTCTCACTAACAAAGGAGAACCAGGGGAGGTGGAGCTTTAAAGCCTCCTTAAGCTGGGAAACTGTAGAGGGTCCTCCCAGACCTCTACAGTTCCACACCATCAACTTCATTTGGGGGTTAGGAGCCACTCTAGGCTGGATGCCTCCACCTGCTTGCCTTCTTGGGAATTACCGGTTCGTTTTTGCTTTTTCTTATTGAGAGATGTGCTCTTAGAACTATGATCATTGCTTTCTGGGGCCTCTTACTGGAGTCTTCCCCGTTTGTGCCCTTGAGATGCTATAGGATTAGTTGAGCTTTGTTCTTTTGTCTTAGATGGTTCTCTTCTGGTCTATTTTTTCCTTTGCTTTCCAGTGCGGGTAGATGGTATATTTGTCGAGGTTGGCACCAGTTCCAGCTCCATGGGTTTGCTCTGGGTAGGTATAGAGGTTGATAACTCAGGGTTTTCAAAATCAATATCTTGGTTTGTGAGTATGAGGATAGGGTCAGGAGGAAAAGAATTCCAGGTGAGGATGAGGAGGATTGACTGTTACGGGGTTTGTTTAGTGGTAGTTTGAGGAGGAGGGATGGCTAGACTCAGGAATATTCATCAAGATGGGTTTACAGATTTTAGTGGGGAGGTCACTTTTGGGGGTTTTAGAGGCACTATCAAAGGTTAGGATTGGGTTGGATGAGTTTATCCTGAAGGGTGATTGAGAAGAAGAAGGGGTAGCATCTTGAGGAGAGGGGGATGGGCCTGTCTTGGTTCTGTAAGAGGGAGTATCTTCTGCTCTGAGCCAGTCGCCAAATTGTCCTTCTTGAAGCTTACTTTCTTCAATGTCTTTAAGAGGGAGTATCTGATGGAACATGACCTGTCTAGCGCCAAATCATACCACAGTAGTAGCGCAGGTTGATGAGTTTTTCATACTTGAACGACACTCTCTGGATTTTGTCCTTGAGTTGAATGTTGGCACACCTCAGGATTGGGTCTTCAAGGTTGTGGGTAACCAGGAGTTTAAGACACCTGCTTGCATTGGGGCCCGAATTTTCGATTATAACATCCTTCACTTTCTTGAATGCTTTGTCAATTTTGAGCTCCACTGCAGCACAGAGCCAGCTTAGGGGAACTTCTTCCACTTGCACCCAAATGTCCATTTTCTTGAAGCACGCATGTTCTGAGCTTATGTTCTCGGAGAATTAGATATTGGTTTTCAAAGGACCAATTCTTCCCGGAAGCCACTTTCCTCTTGTCAGCCAGATCTTCAAATAGAAATTGGAAGAAATTTGCATCCAGTTCACGAATAGAAAGGGGGCCTCTGAGATTCCATATACGGGTAAGGGATCTCTTAAGCCCGAAAATACCAACTTTCTTGTCTCTAATAATCTTCCCGAAAAGAATTATGTTGCACTCCTCTTCGCTAAATCGGATGTCGTCATCCTGGAGGGGGATGATATTTGCTTCTTTTGTTGACAAGGAGAAAGATCTAAGCTTTTGCACCAGGTAGTCCATGAATGCGGGAAGGAGATAAAGAGTTCTGGGTCGATGAACTGCACAAGGGAGAGAAGGAGGGGAAAGAGGGGGAATAACGAGCAAAATAGAGAAACAAAGAGACAGAAAGCAAAAAAAACCCTAGACAACACAAATGAGAGGGAAGCCAGACAAACCAAAACAAACACGATAAGATAAAAATAACCTGACCGGCAACCTGCTTGACTGGTAAGCCTTCATAAGAAGGAATATGATGTCACACTCCATTGGAGAGAATCAAGGCTCCCATTAGAGAGAATCTATAATAAAACGTTTCATTCCAAGTAATATTTGCAAAAAACAAAATTTCTCTTTTTATATCAATCATATTTATCAAATAAATACTTGATACCAACAACTTCCTATTTAAGAAAGTTTTATAAACAAACAAGTGAAATTCGAAAAATATAATATTTTCACATCAATATTTTTTTTTTTTTTTTGGAAAAATGCTAGATCTTTCAAAGATATATCTTACAAACAATTGTGGTTTTTTTTTTCTTTTTTTTCTTAACCAATTTCTTTTCTCTTTAAATAAATTATTTGTTTCTTTACAAAACAAATGAAAAGTGGATCTTTGACCTTCTTCGGCTTTCACTTCTCTCGATTATTTTACAACATGATTAAATTCAAAATTGTTGCCTAATATCCAAATAATCAATATTTACGACTTTCTAATTTCATTTGCGTATATGTCAAATATGATTTGAGAATATTGTATGTTTATTTTCTATTTTATTTTTTATTAAGTAGTTATGTCATTTTGTTTAAAAGACTTAATAACATTTTATGTTTTATATAGTTTTTATGTATAATATTACCTTCATTTTGCATTACAACATGAATAGGAAGATTGAGTGGATCGGTTGAACTATAGTTATGACCTGAATAGTTAGGATTGGCTTGGAGCAAGTAAGCTAACGGGACAGGGTACCAACTAGCTAAGTCATACACCTTGACATCATGATGACCGACCCATTTGACTTTTACAAAGGCAAGACATTTTAGAGAACACCCAACCTAAGTACCAGACCTACTGGTATTTAGTATGTGGACCTAAGTGAGAGGGAACATGTGAGCAACTGGATGTGAGTAGATATGAAAACAATCAAGATAATGGTGATCTAATTAAGATATAATGAATACAAACAAGATAAAGATGACACAAAACATATAAGGATTAACCTCAGGCAGTTGGCCAGCCTCAGTCAGATTAATCTCAGGCAATCGAGCAACCCTAGGCAACAAGAATTTGTGCACTAATGTAACCCCTATAAAAAGTGGATAAACTGATAAAGTACAACTAAAATACTCTCTCGTCTTTCTGAATTCTCTAGATACAAAAGAAACTCATCATCTTCTTCCCCTTTCCGATCACTAACTTGAACGTCGGAGTAATTACGCTAGGAGCTCCTCCCGACCTGTGTTTTGTACGTTATCAGATGTGCTTGAGCAGCTGGAAGTTTACAGTCNCCGGTTTAAGCAAATCCAAGTTTCTGGACATCACTGAGCATTTATGCCAACACATAAATCGTGTTTGCGAACTCCTTTACAATTATGAGTTTGTTAAATGATCTTAGCTAAATCGAGCTGAATTTTTGCTACATTGAATGATCTAAGCAATTCCAAGTTTCTGTACATCACTGAGCATTTATGCCAACACATAAATCTTGTTTCTGAACTCCTTTATAATTATGGGTATGTTAAATGATTTGAGCTAAGCCGAGCTGAAATTTTGCTACATTGAACAATCGAAGCTTGACACTGGTCTTTGGCTTGTTTGTTAAAGAAGTTGAGCTCGGACAGAAAAATACTTCAATTAAATTGATTCGAATTACAAACCGAACCTCCCCCAATCTCTATCTAATTTCCCCCAAATTGGAGAAGAAAAAAACCCTCGCTCGGCCTTCTACTGTGGTGCCTCCTCTCCGGCGGCCTCAATTCCTTGCGGTCCGGTGAGCATCCGGCTCACCCTAGGTTCGCCGGCGCTGGTGTGGTAGCCTTTTCGCCTTTCCCTCCTCATACGTGGTCCTGCTCTTGTCACTGAGCGCCATGACGGATGGAGCTCGAAGGCGGGGGTTGCAGGCTTGGTGTCCGGCGATCGCTGCAGGCTTCTGAGGATGCTGGTGGCGGCAGACCAGCCTTGGTCCTCCCTTTTTCTGGCCTCCCCTGGTGTTCGGGTGGTTGGGACCTACGGCGGCGGTGGCGTTTCGAGTGCCGGACCAGGAGTTTGCGTGGGGAGGGCTATGGCGGTGGTCTGGCCTGGGCGGGCTTGCGAGTCCCGGTGGCGGTTCTCAGATCTAGGGCTCGTCTTTGACTGTAGTTTCTAGGGCCTTTTTCCGGTGGGTCGCGCTTGGGTGTTTGCTTGGTCGTGCGGAAGGTGGGGTTATTGTCCGGTGGGGAGGGTGTTGTCATCTTTATTTTGTTTTTGTGTTTTTGGCTTGTGTTGTTTTTGTTGTAGGTTAGTGTTTTGGTTCTCCCGGTTGGAAGCTTCTCTCCTTGTGGGAGTTTTTATCTCCTCTATTGAGGGTTTCTTTCTCCCCTATTGGGAGGTTTGTAGGTTGTGTTTGTGTTCGTGGTTTGTTTGTTGTTGGTAGGTTGACTGTAGACTACATTTTGTGTAGCTCTCTCACCTAGATTTAGCTGATTGGTCAACGAATTTGCTAGTTTCTAGTTTGTATTTATGTGTTTCATTCAATAAAATCCATCGTTTGAAAAAAAAATGATTCGAATTACACCCCATCCAAAAAGAAAACAAATAAAAATAAAATGAAAACCAAAGATGGGAAAAATAGCAAAAAGAAAAGATTTTGAGAGGACGCGTCAGATGTGACGTCAGTTGCCCTAGAACCTTTGAGAGCCTTAAGCCGGGCCACAGACGAACAAGACCTGGTCCTAAAACCCTCAATCGGGCCGATCTGCAGCAAAACCTAACCCCTCTACAAAACCCCAGAAAAAACACACACAGCCTTTACATCCCCTTCCACTCATCCTCCGTCGGGTCGCCGGAACCCGAACCCAAACATCCGCCATGGCCTACCAACATCGAGCCCCCGATCAAAGCAGCTCCCGCGCCGACGAGAACACCTCGAACCGCGGTCTCTACAATCCCTACCAAGACCTGCACTTCCCCTCCCAAACTCTGTACAATCTGCCGACATCACCGGAGTTCCTCTTCCAGGAGGAGTCCGTCGCACAGCGCCGCTCCTGGGGCGAAAACCTCACCTACTACACGGGGATCGGCTACCTCGCTGGTGCGACCGCGGGCGCCGCCAAGGGTTTCGCCACTGGCGTCCGGTCAATCGAGCCGACCGACACCCTGAAGCTGAAGATCAACCGGATCCTCAACGGGTCGGGCCTCGCGGGGAGGCAGATCGGGAACAGGTGCGGCGTGATTGGATTGATGTACGCTGGCCTCGAGAGCGGCATGATTTCCGTCCGGGGCACGGACGACGTGGCCAACAGCTTGGCGGCGGGTCTTGCCACTGGCGCCCTCTACAAGGCGGCGGCCGGGCCCAGGTCGGCGGCCGTGGCGGGGGCCATTGGGGGCGTGGTTGTGGGGATTGCGGTGGCTGGGAAGCAAGCTCTGAAACGTTATGTGCCGATTTAAGTGCCTTTTTTTTTATTTTAATTTCTCAGGGCTTTTCCATCTTTGTTTGAGTATCTCTTAATTGTTCATTGGAGGTGGGAATTTTGATGATGAATGTTTAGCTCCTTTGGACTGAAGTTTGTGCTTGTGTGTGTTTTAAGCATGAAAGCTTCGTGCTTTTTGTTCTGGGGTATATAAAATCAGTATTATCGATACCTTTGCTTGTTTCTAATTGTAAAATGTGACTACTTGACTGCACTTAGGCACGAAAGATTAATGCTTTGCTGTTCGGCCCATGTATGTTGGCATTATTGAATGCTCTGGTGCACTTAGGCATGAAAGATCAATGCTTTGTTGTTTGGCTATGTTGGTATTATTGTGTATATTGGCTTGTTGAATGCTCTGGTGCACTTAGGCATGAAAGATTAATGCTTTGCTGTTCGGCCCGCGTATGTTGGCATTATTGAATGCTCTGATGCATTTAGGCATGAAAGATCAATGCTTTGTTGTTTGGCTATGTTGGTATTATTGTGTATATTGGCATAATTGAATTCTCTGGTGCACTTAGGCATGAAAGATTAAGGCTTTGCTGTTTGGCTATATAGGTATTATTGAATCCTCCGGTTCTATGTATGATACTGTTTTTTTAGTTTCTATGTGTGATATTGTCTTTTCTAATTGGTCCATTGTGCATTCTGAAATTTATTTTCAAGTATTACTCTTCTAATTGGCCCGTTAGTTCTTGTTTCTGCATTGTCTTGACATGGTTTGGGAGATGTGTTAACCTTAATTACATAAAAGTTCTCTATCAAATGTACGCATTGACATTTGTTTCTATTTTTCACACTGCATTTTCAAGAAAATACAAGCTCTGTAGTTTTGTTTCTCCAATTTACCGGAACGATCATTGGAGTTAGCATTGTGAGCCATGATTTGTTGTGAAGCCACTTGTGGTTCTTTGAGAAGTTGTTTTCTTGCATGCTAGGTGCAATCTCTATTGCTTTTGCGGCTGTGCTGGATACATATTCATAGTATTTGTCCGGCAAATATATCTCAGCTACAATGTTTTAAAGTTTTACATTATGTTTCCCTAATTGAGTTCAGCCATATCAGATGTATGTCTTGTTGAATAACACGAATTGTTTTCTGTTATTCATAACTCAGTAGGCAAAGATGCTATGGGCCAAGTGTACTTTTTATGTTGGAAGTTGTTTTCAATCACCAAACATAACACATTCTTTAATGTGACTATATTTTTGACAATGAGACTCGAGCAGTTTTGCGAACATTTTTGTTACTTGCCCATCTTTGTCTTACACTTTCCTTGTTGAATGCTCTTCTATAATTCTATTTGTTTTGGTTTTTGTGAAGTGTTTCTGTTACTTGCCCATCTTCGTCTTACGCTTTCGTTGAACGCTCTTCTATTTGTTTTTGTTTTTGTAAAGTGTGGCTAAAATGTCGAGTTTCTCACTTGTACCAGAGATGGTAATCTTACTCTTAGTTGTGTTTGGTTAGGGTAGGCTTCAGCCGAGGGTCAATTTTTTCCCTCTATTATTATATTATTATGCTTAAGAAAAAAATATATATATATATATATATTGTTATATTAATTCAGCCCATATTAAATTTATTTTAACTAGTATGTGTATGTATATGATAATTTAAGCTCATGAATATATATATTTGGTGATGCCTAATATTAAAAAAAAAAATCTCTAATAAAAAATTAATGTTATATTATTTTGTTTATTGGTAATACTAATTTTAGTCTTTTTATGCGAACTCTTTTTTGGTCAACTAACATATGACTTGTTAGATATTTTACTTTGAGAAATATGTACATAATTGATGAAAATGTGTTGATCATTTATAATTAAAATGTGTGTCACTATTAATTTCAAGTAACCATTAGATTAAAATATTTATTGTATATTAATTATAAGTTTCGATACACATATATATATAGTATTTATCTATATATATATAGAGAGAGAGATGAATAAATTTTATTGATGATGTTGAGCTAGGTTGAAGGCCTAATTGTTAGTGCATATTAGGAACTAGTTTAAGATGTCTTCAAGCTAGCCAGCAAAGAGGACCACATTATTTAGGGAAATTTTTATGTCCGCTACATGATTTTAAATTAATTGTAATTTTACTATACAAGCAGAAATAATTATGTTTCTACCTAAAAGACATTATTTATCTTTATCAATGCCTAAAATTATCATATCCTTCCAATCCTTATCTCCTTAATTCACGCTTATCCCCTTAATTCACGCATGTTATTTAATAGAGTTGTCAGGTGGTATATATTGGGTTTATGGTAGTATATATTAGTATATGTTGATAGTATATATTGGGTTTATGGTAGTATATATTAGTAGAATAATGCTACGTGTACCCCTTGGTGTACTACTTGGTTTACATCCAAGGAGCACATGTACACATTTACCCTTAATCAATAATTTAGTAAATTATTCCTTAAGGGTAAATGGGTACATGTACCCTTGGATGTAAACCAAGTGGTACACCAAGGGGTACATGTAGCATGATCCATTTTGTACATAAAAGTGCATATATAGTTTATAAACATATTATAACGGGCTACTTATAATTCCTATACAAAAAATCTTGTAATATATTGAACATATACTCTTTGTACACACAAAATATACTGAACAGATTAAAAAAATCTTCTAATATACCGAATATATAATCTTTACAGATTTTTTTTTTTTTTTTTTGTTTTCTTATTTCGTTAGATCTCACCATTTCCCACTCTCAATACAAAAAATTTAAGGTAGCTCTTATATTATACAGAACATATACTCCATATATACACAACATATACCCGCAACTTATACAAAATGAAAACTATCTATCTACGAATCAAGCACATCAAGTGTTCAACAATTATCCTCTGAGAATTTTATTATCTAAAACATATATTACATATATACTGAACATATACTACATATACACGCAACATATACTGCCGATTGCCTCGTGCCGCGGGTTAAAGAAAAAGAAAAAAAAAATCTCAGAATGGGTGCTTTCTTTTTCAAAAAACCGATCCTCGTTCTTCTTTCATCCTCAGAATTTTCGAAATCGAACTCTCTTCTCTCATCACTACCAGATGAACCATCAAAACCTTTTTTTTTTATTGGACAAAATTAGCAGAGACATTTAAGTAATGAGTTCACATTTTCCGCAAGAAACATCCGAAATGGACACAAAAAACCCAAATATCCACCAAACAAACAAAAAAAAAGAAAAAAAAAA